AGCTCTCGATCTTACCGTCTTGAGCATCCGGACTCGATCGTGGAGGCCGTCCAGATCTCTCTCATTCTCTTGCTCATCGATCTCGCCGCTGGCATACGAGGACGAAACATTCCTCCCGGCTTCCAGATTATCAAACAGGGAGCTCCTGTTGCCGCGATAATCCCTGCGTCACAAACACCACAAAACCCTAGAGTCGATTGGAAAGCGTCGCATTCTCACCGCCATTGGCTCATCGCTCTAAGCGCGATCGCTCGCTCGCTCGCTAGATCCCAATTCCCTTCCCTAGGGCCACAGTAAAATTTCTCTCTAGGTTTCCATCCAGCTAGGGCTTGTGGGGGAGCGCCTTGGATTTGCGCTTAGATCTGGAAGCTCGTTCCATCGGCCAGGTCTGGATCGTGCATTGGATCCCGAATGCCGGATTCCAGGCGCTGAAATCTTCCTTGATCCACATCGCGTCGGTCGGCACAGGGATTTCGGATGAGCTTCACGACTATGGAGCAGCTCAAGACGATTGGGCGGGAGCTGGCTATGGGCTCCCAGGGGGTGTGGGGATCGTCCAAGGAATTCCTGGAGCTCGTCAAGACGATTGGCGAGGCGAAATCCAAGGCCGAGGAGGAGAGGATCGTGCTGGCCGAGATTGAGAGCCTCAAGCGCCGGATCCAGGAGCCGGATGTGCCCCGGAAGAAGATGAAAGAGTATATCATGCGCCTCGTCTATGTGGAGATGCTCGGCCACGACGCTTCCTTTGGCTACATCCATGCCGTGAAGATGACCCACGATGACAATCTCTTGCTCAAGAGATCCGGCTACTTGGCGGTCACGCTCTTTCTCAACGAGGACCATGATCTTATCATCCTCATCATCAATACCATCCAGAAGGATCTCAAGTCGGACAACTATCTCGTGTGCTGTGCCGCGCTCACTGCCGTGTGTCGGTTGATCAACGAGGAGACAATCCCCGCGGTTCTTCCCCAGATCGTCGAGCTTCTCAACCATCAAAAGGAGCTCGTGAGGAAGAAGGCTGTCATGGCTTTGCACAGATTTTTCCAGAGGTCTCCTTCGACTGTGTCGCATCTCTTTCCAGCCTTCCAAGAGGTAAGTTGCTGGTTTTCTAGTTCCTAAGCTTCCTACTAAGTCTATTGTTTTTCCAGAGACTTTGTGATAGAGATCCCAGCGTGATGAGTGCTGTTTTGTGCGCGCTCTATGACATGATCCTCGTAAACGTGAAGCCTTTCAAGCATTTGGTAGCGAGTCTGGTCAGCATTTTGAAGCAAGCCGTGGAACACAGGCTGCCAAAGTCGTATGACTATCACCGGACTCCAGCACCTTTCGTGCAGGTAAACTGCCGCGCTCGTTTGATATCAGAGTATGCTAAGTGGGAAATCTTGCTTCACAGATTAAGTTGCTGAAAATTCTCGCTTTGCTCGGGACAGGTGACAAGGCTGCCAGCGAAAACATGTTTAATGTGCTGGGAGATATTCTCAAGCGCTCGGATTCGACCAGCAACATTGGCAACGCGATCTTGTACGAGTGCGTCAGGACTCTGACATCAATCTACACCAATCCTCGGCTACTGCAAAATGCAGCGGAGATAACCGCAAAGTTCTTGAAGGTTTGTTGTGTCATTTCATTGCGGAGTATATACTGACATAGTTTGGTGCAGAGTGATAGCCATAACTTGAAGTATATGGGAATTGATGCCCTGGGTCGGCTTATCAAAATTACGCCAGAGTGTGCCGAAAATCATCAACTGGCTGTCATTGACTGCTTAGAGGTAGCGTCTCTATTCCTATTTATTGAAGGATCGCCTTTCAGTGCGAACTCTTGTAGGATCCAGACGATACGTTAAAACGGAAAACGCTGGATCTATTATACAAGATGACAAAGGCCAACAATGTCGAAGTTATTGTGGAACGCATGGTGGAGTACATCAGAAACATCAGCGATAACCACTACAAAACGGAGATTTCTTCACGGGTTATAGAGCTGGCTGAGCGATATGCACCAAGTAACCAATGGTTTATACAGGTAATACTATATGGTTTATACTTGCACTCGTCTCTTACGGACTAAATTCGTGTGATCGGGTGCCAGACGATGAACCAGGTTTTCGAAATTGCGGGAGACCTCGTGCCTCAGAAGGTTGCGCATGACTTAATGCGTCTCATAGCCGAAGGAGCTGGGGAGGAGGATGAAGATGCTGACAGTCACCTTAGATCATCTGCAGTATATTCATTTCATTATTTTCGAGTGTCTCGAGTTCTTAATTTGCTGTGTTACAGGTTCAAGCTTATCTACAAATACTAAAGGAACCAAAGCTTCCCTCGATACTTCTTCAGGTACGTAGAGTTTTCTTTGTGTGCTGATAAATTTTCTGAAAACGTTTAATGGGCTTCCAGGTTATCAGCTGGGTGCTAGGTGAATATGGCATTGCGGACGGCAGCCACTCAGCTGAATTCATTATAGGAAAACTATGTGATATTGTCGCTACACGCCCTGGTGATGACAAGTTAAAGGTATACATTCTGATTGTTTGCTGCGAACGTTGACGCCGTTCACTGCTTGCAGGGTTATGTTGTTTCGGCAATTACAAAAATCTGTGCATTCGAGAAAGCCGCTGGACAGACAGTAGATCTCATTCCAGAGGTAGTGCCATTCAACGTGTACTCTTAAGATTTGACGTCTGAAAATGTGTTGCAGTGCGTCTCGTTCATCGAGGAACTGTACGCTTCTCATTCTACCGATCTACAGCAACGCGTCTATGAATTCCACGCCGTGCTAAAGCTAGACAGAGATACCCTTGCAAGTATCTTGCCTATGGATGCCAGCTGCGAAGACATTGAGGTCATCTATGCTTTTGATGCTCGTAACTCAAAACTGATACTCTTCCTTCTGATAGGTGGACAAGGATCTCTCCTTCCTCAACTCTTTCGTCGAATCCGCCTTAGCAAATGGCTCTAGACCATATCTATCCGACAATGAGCGCCGTGGAATGGGTGCAATGACAACCTTGGCATCCAACAATGACGCTGGTACGTCGTCTTTACTTCGTTTCCAGCCTTACGAGAAGCCAAGCATCCCGGAGCCTGCCGCAGCTCTCGTCACTGCGTCTCATTATAGCCAAGACGCGATCGACCAGCACGACATCTACTCTAGTGCAATCACGGTTTCCACGAGCTCTAAAGCTCCAGAATCTAGCAGCAACGACGGCACGAGACTCAAACTCGAGGGAGTCCAGAAAAAATGGGGTCGTCCAACGTACACTCCTGAGGCGCAGGTGCCAAAGAATCCCATCAACATATCCGACAGTGTCAAGGTAAGCAGCAGCGCAGCAGGGAAAGAGGCGTCGAGTAGAAACAGCAGCGCTCCTCCCTACACGGAAAGAAAGCAGCCTCCGCAGGAGATCTCGGCAGAGAAGAAGAAGCTCGCAGCGTCACTCTTTGGAAGCAAAGCAGGAGACACTAAAGCCAAGCCGGCAGCAAAGCTACAACAGAATGGAACGTCGAAGAAAGCTCCAGCAAAGCCAACTTCGCCGCCACCTCCAGCTCCAGCTCCACCGCCTGCTGATCTACTCGACTTGAGTGACAGTCTACCTCAGACTCCCTCGGTGGATCCGGTTGATCAGCTGGCGGATTTAATCTCGGTTGATAGCTCGGCCGCTACGTCGACCACTTCGCTCGTCGAGCAAGTTTTTGACGCTGGAAAAGTTGCGACGAAGGGGCCATCGCCGCAAGCATCGTTGCAAAAGGACGCTGTTTCACGCCAAGTGGGGGTGACGCCGAGCGGAGGAACAAACCCGGACCTTTTCAAGGATTTGTTTGGATGAGGAAAGCTCGCTCGCGTTCTCGCGTTTGGCGCGGTGGTGTGAGATTTTCTCACATCCCTCTGGATCTGTATGGTCAGTAAGATTCTAATGGAACACGAGAAGAGCAGCAGCGGAAATGCGTTTATACTTCTCTGGAGAAAAGAATTTCCATTCCCTGCGAGTCGGGCAGTGTACAAAACTTTTTCTGTGCTGATTCTTCTAAAAGTTGAAAGCGTTTTGTAGCCTGGATGCCATATGACCCGTCACGACTTGAGAAGCAAGCGACTGGATTTGCTTCTTGGCATCTGAGTTCCATCGACAGAAAAAAATGGAGTGAGTGGATGATTCGATCAAACTTTCAGTTCGAACCTCTCCGGCATTTGGTGAATCCGATGATGTTGGCGACTCCCAGCGTGAGACAAATCCCCACGATCAGTAGATAGTCGAAGTTGAACTTAATGAGCGCGACAAGGCCCAGAGCTAGCCATATCCCAGGCTGTGAAACAAAACTAAGATCTCTCCTAAAAAAATAAAGTGGAGAGAGAGATAGAAGCTTACAGCAATGTAGAGCGTCCACCAAAAGAGCCATGTATCCTTCTTGTTGAGCCTCTCCAGAGACTGAAAGGGGAAGAACCATTCAAAGCTTGTAGCAGTGAAAGAGAGAAGAAAGAAAAACTTCTTTGTGCGTACCTGTTGATCCAGCGACTCAAATCGCCACACACTCTCGCCTTGGTCATCGATCTCATTCCACCAGCGCAGCCCCACCAGGATTCTACCGCTCACGTTCTTCACCACCCAGAAATCCAGCGCCGCCAAAAGGACGGTGACCACGAACTGGATGATGAAGCTGCTGACGAAGAAGGAGCAGAGGATGTAGAATGCGATCGCGGATCCCTGCGAGGCGAGCGAGTGAAGAGAGAGAGAGAGAGTGAGAACGGCGCGATCTAAGATGAGAATTTCGAGAGAGACCTTGAAGACGACGTGGAAGAACGCCGTGAGTGGATTCGAGTAGTTTTGCTGCGGCTGGCCCTCCTCCGCCTGCGCACAAGGCAAGGATTGAAATTCACGACGCCGGAAGCGCGGATCTGCAAACTCACCATGGATGGAATCGCCACTCGCCGAGCTCCAGATCGTAAAACCCTAGAAGAAGGCCTGGTGACGTGGCAAAGTGCCGCGTCAGCGTCCCAGTCACGTCCGTAACGTTTCCCCTCCGTACATTACCGTACAAACGTACAAAACATTTTATTTTACAAAACTGGAATTTTTCCTTGCCCCGTTCGAGAGCTTGTCTTTGGCGACGTATTCGTTCGTAACGTGGAACTCTCCGCGAGAAAGCTCCGTGGAAATCTGGGAAGAACGATGAGAAAGAGAAAAGGAGAGCGAGTTCTTCGATTCATACCTTGAGTGTTAGTAGAACATTTAGCGCGGAGCACAGCTGATTCATTCGCCTCCTCCCGCGGGTCTTGAGGTAATCGTGCATGACGGGATCCACTCGAAGCGCCATTGACGGCCACCTCGTGCTCTTGCTAAAGCTGTTCTTCCGGTTGGCCTGGCAAGGAGGAAACGACGAGCGTTTGATCAGTTTTAAAGTTCTCCAGAGATGTTACCAGGATCTTTTTGACTGCTCTCTCAATCTTCGAGAGCGCCATTTCTACCGACTCGATGCGTCCAGTACCGCCGCAGCAGCTGCATGAATCAGTGACCCTCGAGGTGACGCTCGGCCGGTCCTGAAAGTTCCATAGCAAGTCAAGCACCACGAAGAGAACTGATACACAACAAGATTAAGTACCCGTGCTCTTGTCATTTCCATGAGTCCGAACTCTGAAATTTCCGAGATGACAACTTTAGAGCGGTCCCGCTCAATGGCCTTGCGCATTTCTTCGAAAACAAGCCTTTCGTGACCTGCAGATATACCACAATACTCGCTGCCAAACTATCGAGTCTAGAGGCTTACTTGGATCCTCCATGTCTATGAAGTCAACAACTATAATCCCACCAATATCTCGTAGCCTCAGCTCTGTCGCAATCTGCGGCTCATTCCGTATGATCAGAAAATCACAGAGATTATGATGGTTTTTACCTTTCGAGCAGCAGCGAGATTTACTTCTAAAACTGCTTCTCGTTGAGATGTCGCATCACCGAGCATTCCCACGCCACCATTTACATCAATAGATACGAGAGCTTCGGTTTCCTCCAACACCAAATATGCACCGTTTGGTAGTTCTACCCTGCAGGGAGAACGAAAGCGAAAGATGACCACTTTTGCAAGAAACACCAAGCACCTACCGCTTGCTAGATGATTTCTCAATTTCTGCTTCCAGGTTGAAAGCCTCGAAGATAGGCTCTTTGCCAGAGTAAAGTTCCACACGATCACATAAGTGAGGTGCTATTTCTTGGAGGTAAGCTGTAACCTGAAAAGAAGAAAACACAAAGAAATATAAGTTTCTTATCTACGTCCAAAAGTCGTCACCTCTTGGTATGTTTGAGACGAATCCACGACAAACCTTTCAACCTGTAAATAATCGTTCAAAGAAAGAAGATAGTATACTGTGACAAACCTCATTGTTGAAGAGATCACGAACTGTCCTGAGCGTTTGTCCCATGGCCCTTTGTAGCAACACAGGGACCGGGTCTTTTCCACCAGCAGCAGCAGCAACCTCCGCTCTCTCCAGAATACTTCTCCACGTCTCCATGAGGCGTGCCAAATCCTTCTCGAGCTCTTCACGGCTGCGGCCAACAGCCTCAGTCCTCACAGTAAGACCAAATCCAGGAGGCTGCAGCTCTCTGGCAAGCTGCTTAAGCCGACTTCTTTCCAGCCCGTTAATCTTGCGAGTAACTCCAATGGTCGAAACTTGAGGCACCAGTACCTGCACTACATCTCCAACTTCACGCATTCATTCTCTAACAAAAAAGAGCAGGAGGCACTTACCCAGTATCGTCCCGCCAAAGCCACAGTTGCAGTAAGCTGTGGTCCTTTCTGCCGAAGAGCCTCTTTCTTCACTTGCACGACCATCAAAGTTCCTCTCTTGACTTTCCTCCATGCACCGATCTTCCGCAGAACAGTAGCCGGCTTTACGTTTGTCTTTCCATCGCTCTGTTCCATCTCCTCTCCGTTTGGATCGTCCACAGTTTCTTCAATTTCCTCTTCATTCACGTCGATAACTATCCCATCCTTGTTTCTCAAGCCGTCCTCTTCGTTCCCCTGAGCTTTGTCACCGTAGAAGACGTGCGGGTATTGGTGCATGTTAACTTCCAGCAATGCCGTTCTGGAAGATCCAATCTCCACAAATATCCCGTTCATGCCTGGGAGGAGCTGCTTCACAACGCCGAGGTAGACATTCCCAACTTGGAAGTTCGAGTTGACAGGCTCGAGCAGTAGCTGGACGAGCTTCTTGTTCTCGACGATCGCAATTCGCTGCATCGTGCACTCGGAGGAGTTGATGAAGATCTCCACTGCTACATCGCGAGCTTCCGGAACTTCCTGGCTCTCGCTCAGGAAAATGCTCTCGAGCAGCCATGGCTCCTCCCTTGGAAACACCTTCCGCTTCGGGAAAAATCTAAAGTCCGGCCACTTGGTCGTGGTTTCACTCGAGACACTTGCCTGATCATCTTCTCCCTTGGAAGAAAAGTCTCTGAAAGCTTCGAGTTCTGCTACAGCGATGAAAGGATCTTCCTCTCCAAAAACCTTTTGATCCGAGAGTTGCAACGCGGCCAGGAACGGGTCTTCTTCTCCAAAAGTTGGAACTCTCGAGACATGGAGAGCTCTAACTTCTGAGGGCGATGAGTCGTGTAGTGCCGGGACCTGGACAACGTAAGAGTTCTCCAAAGATCGTCCTGGCAGCACCTAGAAATTCTAGAGGAAATGAATCGAGCTTGTGAAAATCTCTACAATCACGGACGAACCTGTGAGCCATTCACTAGCGTTGGAGCTTCAGCTATGCTCGCTCTGGCCGCTCCATTCCCATGAAACAGCCGAAGAGACGAGGAAGAAGAACTCTCGGCCCAGGGATCTTCCTCGAAGAGAACGCGCTGGTCGCCCTCGGCTCTCCTGTGCGCCCGGGGAATGTGAAGGAATTCCGCGCCTGGAATCCCGAAATGCCGATCCCTGAGATGCCTGCGCTGAGAATCCGCCACGGAATTCTTGGAGCTCAACCTGGACGAGGAAGGAAACAGCGCTTCCGCGAGGAATGGAGCGGCGGCGTGGATTGTAGGCGCCATTTCTCACCAGAGCAAGCGATTCCATCGCTCATTGTCAGCGATCCGCGAGCAGCTTATCCATATATCGACACGCATTTTTTAGGGTTTATGCTGCTAGGTTGAAGAAGCCACGTCATCCAAGTAGCTGACGTGGCGGACACCACGTCTGACGTGGCGAAGGGACAACGGTCGGATCGTTTACTTGATAGTTCCGTTATACAGAGCTAGAGGCGATCGATTGATTCATTCGTTCTCTCCAGCTCGAAGCTATGGCGGATTTTCGTGCCGCAATCCCAGTTCCAGGAGGAAGGATTGAGAGCTTGCAATGGCGCCGGCCAGGAATTCCTGCTAATCGACAGAAATGGAGAACGCTAGCAATGGCTCGGGACGATTCTAGCAGGAAGAAGAACGAATTTCCTCTCATTCTCGACGCGAATCTCTCCTCCAGAATGGCAGCGTTCCAATGCGCCCTATCGTCCACTGCCGAGAACAACGAGATGACACACTGCCGCAGGAATTTCACCTCGAGCATCCAATCTCTGGTCCAACACAGCGATAGCGCGCAGAGGCACTGCCAGGCCTTCCAGGCATCGCTGGATTCGATCGAAGCTCGCCTCGCGCTGGCTCCCAGCGCCTCTGAGATTTCCAGCCTCCAGGTACCAAAGAATCCATCCCCTGCTCCACAAAATATTTCATCATCTCCCTGTTCTTGCAGACGCGCCTGGAGCGAGCATCGTCCTCCTTGCTCCCCCAATCCGGCATCGAGCAGTTGATCCGAGAGGCCGAGCTCTTGGAATCGAGGCTCGCAGAGATTCCAAGCGCGGAAGAAATCCAGGCCCTAGACACTAGAATCCCCGAAATGCTGATGAAGAGATCGTGGGAGAGAGTCGGCGATGGCGCCAGGAGGCTGCGGCGAGCGATGGATAGAGCTGAGATCGCGTGGCTGCGGCATCTAGAGGATGCCGCCTCGCAGCTCATCGGGAATAAATCTTAGGGTTTATAGCGAGCATTTTTCTAGGGTTCATGGAGACCTCTCTCAGATTTCGAGGCGATGAGAGGCAACTCCGGCTCCACGCGAAGGAGAATTTCCTGCTCGACAGCTCCTTTTGCCTCCAGGCGCGCATTTAATCGATCTCTATCGCGCTCTTCTTCTCAAAATCTCTCGCTTCTTTTCTCTCGCAGGTCCACGGCTATCTCAACACGCACAACGGCAGGGCGGGATGCATCGCGCAGCTCAAGAGGAAATTCCTCCCCGAGGCATCGTCTCTCTCCTCTGCAATCGCTGGATCGATCGAATCGACTCTCTCTCTCTCAATATTTGTTTTGCAGCTTCTCACGAGCTTGGATGTGGGCGCGCGATACGACACCGATCACAAGGAATTCACGTACGATGTGCGCGGCAAGAAGACGCTGCCTCTCACGGACAATGGATTGCTCAGCGTGGATCTCAAGGGAGGATTCAACTTTAATCCTCGATTGAAACTGGTGAGCGCGCTGGTTCTAGATCATTGTCCCTTCAATCGTCCTTCGATCGTCCAGGGAAAAGCCAGGGGAGCGATAGAGCTCAGCTACAAGGTCTTCAACTTCACGGAAGATCAAGATCTCAAGCTCAAAATCGGCTATGATCCTTTCAAACAGGCAAGAACAAACTTTTTTTCGTGTGATCGATCGAGATTCGAGATTTCTTTTGTTCTTGCGCAGAAGCCATACTTGCAATTGAGGGAGAACAATTGGACATTCAATGCCGACATAAACGGTGCCTGGAACATCATCTACGACCTGTAATTCTCGAGAGCGAGAGGGAACGAACGATTCTTTCAATCATCTCATTCATCTTAGCAGCGAAGAATGAAAGGGAAAATTTTTTAGAGGTCTTACTTGCGTTTCTTGGTGGCACTGGCTAGTTCTTCCTCCAATTCTTCTTCTTCCTCCTGCTCTGGATCGGCTACTTCCAGCGCGCAGTGATGCCGGAGCATGTAATCGCCCAGTAGCTGCATCGCTTTGCTCTTGAGATCCACCAGCGCCGCCGAGAGCGATGGATTACTCTCGGATTGGATCGATTGGGCCTCCGCCTCGAGCCGGAAGCTCGCCATAGCCGTCGCCATTCTATCTATCTTCTTAGCCCTAAAAAAAGGCTTTGATCAATTTTTTAGGGCTCCTACATTGTGCTTCTCCTGTTGCCCGGCGAGGATGAGCGAGATCTTCGATGGGTACGAGCGCCAGTACTGCGAGCTGTCCACGAATCTCGCCAGGCGATGCAGCGCCACGGCGATTCTCTCCGGAGGTAGGCCCAGATCGAGCGATCGATCGTGGTTCTTCTGATTTGAGGGTTTGATCGATGTGCGAGAGAGCAGAGGAGAAGAAGCAGAAGCTGGCTGAGCTGAAATCCGGGTTGGATGAAGCACAATCTCTGGTAAACGCGATCGATCTTTTGTGGGAAGTCTAAAATTCTCGGAATTTTTTTTTCCTTCTTCTCTAGATCCAGCGCATGGAATTGGAAGCTCGCAGCCTCGGGAATTCGCAAAAGGCCGTGTTCCTGGCGAAACTGAGGGAGTACAAGTCCGATCTGACCTCGCTCAAGAAGGACGTACAAAAATGCGCGACGACTGACGCTCTCGCTGCCCGCGAAGAACTCTTGGAAGCCGGCCTGGGCGATTTGTCGGTAACGTTTCTTGGCCATTTTCCCAGGGAAGAACTGTCTTTGATCGGCGATCCGCTGCAAATTTTCTTTCTTCCAGACTTCCACCGACCAGAGAGGACGACTACTGTACGCGACAGACAAAATGAATCGCTCCGGAGAGAGGATCAAAGAAAGCAAGAGAACTTTGCTGGAGACCGAAGATCTTGGAGTCTCGATTCTCCAGGACTTACACGACCAGCGCCAGAGACTCCTTCACACAAGAGACACGGTAAGAATTCGAGGAAGATCTCCATTTCTTCCCTTTAACTCTTAACGCTTCTCTCTTTGTTCCAGCTTTACGGCGTCGATGACAACGTTGGCAAAAGCAGGAAGATCCTCAACTCCATGGCCAGAAGAATAAATCAGAACAAATGGATCATGGGTGGACTCATTAGCTTCCTCATCGCCGCGATTCTACTCGTCGCCTATTTCAAATGGGTGAGCAAGTAAGTGATCGATCCTCCGATCTTATCAGTCTCTCTGGATGGATATAAACTATGCCGTTGTGTGTACATTCTTTTCCTCCTCCATACATACATTATATAGGTACGTAACAAAGCTTACGTTCATAGATCTCTCGGAAGCTTTTTTCTCACAGCTAAAAACCAAAGAGAAGTTGCGCCGTGTGGAATCCTGGGTGCGATTTCCAGTGGCCACTCGCAACGTTTACTTTGCTTTTTATTCTTCGCATTTATTCTCTCTTGACGGAATCTACTGCGACACAATGCAGCACTTGGCTCGCTTGTGATCGTGAGAGCAGTGGAAGTTTGGCTCCTTGGGAACTGTCAAGCGTTTGGAAGATCTGCCAGGAGCAAAGTTTGTGAGCGTTTTGCTCCAGGAAAACTTTCACTACCTTTGTGGAATGAAAGGCCGATCGAAGTAAGGCATGAGTTGAGCACGAGGGACCATCTCTTTCCGCAGCTGCTTGATTTCTTCTTGTTCCGCAAGCTGTCGACGCATGAATCCAGCAGCTAAGGAACAAGAATTTTATAAACTGTGCGAACCTCTTGCAGTCGCTGTTGCTCCTCTCGCTGATGCTCGATGTAAATTATCTTTGCGGCAATCTACACGCAAAACAAAGCTTAGTCGTCGCTCCAAAGCTTTTTTATCAGAGTGATACGTACGTAGTCGTCGAATTGAGCTCGCCGGACGGATCTGAATTCAGTACAGAGCCTGATATCCATCGGAACAGTGTTCTCTTTCGGAGGAGGCTTGGGAACAACCTGGATCGAAATCTTAGATGCTGAAAGAAAGCAAAAGCCTCGAAGTTCTGGATAAGAAGTACCTCTGGTTCGTCAGTTGTCCATGGCAGGCCTTGTGCTATAGGAATCCTGAGCTTGCTATCTTCTTCAAATATCTTTTGCAGTTTCTTCCGGAACTCGTACTCCTTTCTCGCGCCTCGAGCCTGTGTACAAACTGAAAGAGTCCAGCAAAAGGAAAGAAGAAACTTGTAACGCACCTGTGTTCGCAGGCTAAAAGGTTGTATGCACGTTGCCTTGGACGACTTTTGGTACGACTCGGATGATCCACAGTCACTGGCATTTTTCTCAGACTGGATGTCATCTTTCTCGTCCCTGCAATGTCAGGTTTGTTTGCAAGCAAAGCCATAGAAAAGCTTCAAGGAACAAATACCTGTCCAAAGAGCCACCTTCGCTGTCAGCATTGTCCTCCTCTGCCGATTTCTCTTGAGTTGCTTCGCAGGAACCAAACTCGAACTCTTCCTCGGTCTGCGACAACGATCGCCGGCTGGGCTGCCACTCGCGACGCTCCTCCATCTTTCGGATGTGAGTGTTTACTTCCGCGAGCGAGATCATACTCTCAAATGCCTGGACTAAGCTATGGACCTTGGAGCCACAGATCCTCCTCCCAAGAGCGCGAAACTCAGCCTCAGTTTCTCCCTCCTGGTGAGAATCCTTGTCGATCGACGAGCCTGAAACCTCTGCATCGCCAGGAATCCCACCGCTGGAATCCTCGGCCGGGGGAGTCGAAGAACACACATCCTTCTGGACCAGGGACTCTTGAAATTCCGGCGCTCGAGCCTGGCAGCATGATTCCAGCCTATTGCTCTCGTGAAGAACGGCTGGGATAGGAGAGATCCGAGGTCTAGCAGCGATTGCCGCGGCATTGGGATCGCAATTCTCCAGCGATTTCTTCTTCTTCGTCATGCCGCATTCTTTCGCTGGGGATCTCGCGGCGCCAGCCATCGCCGATCGCCCCAAGGATCTTATAATACCTGGAATCTCCCAGCGATTAAAGTCGCTCCTCCTCTCGCGCTTCGCCGCCTCCCCAGCTCCCTGCTCTAACCTAATTCTGCGAAGGAACGTTGTTTAGGCTAACGGCTAGATGCGCCTACGTGGCGCCACGTGGCCGGAAACTTAGCATTAGGGTTCTTCGTGGCTATGGTGGGAGACTGGAGGAAGGGCTACTGGTATGTGATCGTAGGGTTTCTGGCGCTCGGGCTGATTCTCTACTTGACGAGCGACATCGAGCATTGGCTACTCCCTAGGGATTCCCACGTACAAGATTCCGGGCGTCTTACGGATCTTCTCCGGCGCCAGGAGCAGGGGCTCTTCGAAATCTGGAATGCGACGCGCGATTCTTCTCACGCCGATGCCTTGCGCTCGCAGATCGAGCTCAATCACCAGATCCAGCAGCTGGTATCAGGCGCCAGACATGGATACGATCCGGGAATGGGGGGCTGCCAGGGCCAGAATTTCTCATCCAGACGCCACGGCAAGCTCGTCCAATGGCGGCCGAGAGAGGATCGCTTCCTTCTCGTGATTTGCACGTCCGGCCAGATCTCCAATCACCTCATCTGCCTCGAGAAGCACATGTTCTTCGCGGCGCTGCTCGATCGGACGCTCGTTTTGCCCGACCCCAGCGTCGATTACTCGTACGAGAAGACGCTCGACATCGCCCACATTCGCAGCTGCCTAGGAGAGAAGACTCTCCTCACATTCCATGAGTTTCTCGCCAAGAACAAGACGGACATCCGGCTCCTGTGCTACATGAGTGGCTGCTACTTGGACGAAGATCACGAGAAGAAGATCAAAGCTTTGGGACTTTCCTGGAGTTCCAAGACCGATGCCTGGCCTGAAGAAGCTTCTCTCAAAGGCTATCCATCTCATCCTCGCGCGAGCGAATTCGTGGCGAAGTTCTCTTGCGAGGACGAGGTTCTCGGCATAGGGGACGTGTTCTACTCGGACGTGGAGTCGCAGCTCGTAGCACAGATTGGTGGTCCATTGCAGCACTCGTGCAAGACGATCATCCGTCCAAACCGGCTCATTCTTCTCACCGCGCAAAGGTTCGTGCAAACTTTCCTGGGATCCAACTTCATGGCGCTCCACTTTCGTCGGCATGGCTTCTTAAAGTTCTGGTAAGAAGAGCTTCGCCACCTTTTCTCTTCTTCTTATGATCTTTTCTCTCTTTTTTGGCAGCAATGTAAAGAATGAGAGCTGCTTCTTCCCGATTCCTCAAGCTGCCAGCTGCATCTCGAGGAAGATCCAGGAGGCCAAGCCCCGAGTGATCTACGTCTCCACGGACGCGGCGGAGAGCGAGATCACTCTCCTCCAGCAATTGCTCGGCCCTGACGTTCCAATGATCCAGAGGCCACAGCACGACTCGAGAGAGAAATGGGACGCGATCCTGCAAAGAAAAGGCCTGCTAGCTGATAACGAGGTGAGCGATCTAAGCAAAACTTTCTTCTTTCTGACGCTCGACTTTGCTTTGGTTGCAAAGGTGGTAGCGATGCTGGACAAAACGATCCGCGCTATGGCCGAATCATTCATCGGGACGCCGGGCTCCACTTTCACGGATGATATCGTGAGATTGCGGAAAGAGTGGGGAAGTAGCAATAGCTGCGATGGTGTTCTATGCCAAGGACAACATCCAAATTTCATAGCCGACACAGATTAAAACATAGAAACTCGACGTCTGGAGTTCTTCGCTCCCAATATTCTTCTTCTCGCTAGAATATTCGTTCCAAGGCTTAAACCAAACTAAGTTTAGCTCACGGGTTATGTAGAGGAGGGGCGCAATATTTTTCAAGTGATCAACCCTGGGAAGACTGGCCAGCCCAGGGACCTGAGGGATAGTCTTGTAGAGCCGATCCCGGGTTCGAACCCACCCGAAGAAGAGGGACCCTCAAATAAAACAAACTGATCACTCCCTTTTAATTTCCCAAGCATGTTGGGGCACGGATTCGAACACAGCACTCCTTCGTACTTAAAACGAAATTTCTCCAAAAACGAAATTTCTCCAAAATGAAACTTGCAACGACGCGAACATGTTTGGTGCTCGGAGTGGCGCTTTGAATATTACTTTGGACCTTCTTTTGAGCTGGACGACTAGAGTTTCATGAATGAGACGAGTGCCATGAGATCATGAAGGCTGAAATCAAGGCAATGCTCCTAGCGTGAAGCTCTAATTTCGCCGTTGTTTTTGCTTCTTTCAAGAGACTTTTTCATGGTATGATCAATGTCAAATTAACAAAATTGGTTAGTGGTTACATTAGTGTTTGGGGTGGTGGTGGTGTGTGTGTGTGTGTGTGCGTATGGTGAGAAGTAAAACGACTATTTAAACAATGACTTTGCATCCCTTCTCCAAGCTCACCTTGGGCGTGATGTAGTTTCCGGCCAAGATAAAGTCGGACATAATCTTGTAAAAGTGTTCTGTGTAGTGAATGCCATCGAAGGTGAAGTACTCGCTGGGATGCTCGCACACCGTGTAGACTGCATCTGTGTGGTTCAATGGCGCACAGCCGCAAAGACCATCTCCATCACAGTTAAACTTGCCACCGCCGCCGCAGCACGACTGGAGCGAGTTCGTGAAGCCAAACTCGTCCATGTTCTCCAAAACGTAGGTGTTGGCAGCAAACCAATCAAAGTAGTAAACAGTGAGACCGGGATACTCTTGGGTGAGCTCGGCCGCCAAAGCCTGGAGTTGTGAGTTGAAGTAGGAGATAAGCTGGGCAATCTCGACAATACAACCATCCTTGTCGTAGTGGTACATCCCCTGGGGGAACTGCTGGAAGGACTGAAGATAGTTTGGCGAGCAATCGGCGCGGGGCATGTTGTAGAGCAAGACATGGCGAGCTCCGTGTGCGTACAAGTTGTGGATTCCATCGGCCAGGCCCCGGATCACGGCCGGAATGGTGACATTGATCACGTAGCCACCTCCCAGCGGCAGCCCGAAGTTGATGTCGTCACCTCCAATCTCGACCATGTAGAGCGCATTCTCGTACCATGGAGAGCTATCCTCGCGGCCGTATTTACCCACGACCTTGGAGCGGTGACGCACGAAATCGTCAACCTGGGCAGAGAAGATGTGCGGGCTGGAGAATGGCTGGTTCTCGACCTTGATCACGGTGGCTCCGGCGTATCCAAAGTTGAGGCTGACAAACTCGGTGCCATTGAATTCGAGGCTCGGAATGCCCAAGTTCTCGAGGTGGAGCTCCTGGATCAGAAAGTCAGGGATGACGAGCCCATCGCTGTAGCGTCCGGTGGGCCTTCCATAGGTGACGCCATAGGGATACATGCCCGAGAGAGTCTTGCCGCCACCTTCGATGTCGCGGTTGCCACCATCGCTGAGAGAATCTGCGAATGTAAAGACTGCAGTGGGACAGATTGAGCCCTCCTTGGGCGATCGAATCGCAGCAGACTGAGAAAACAGTGAGACGATGAAAAGAGCAAAGATTGCAAGAACAGTGGAAGCCATCTTTTATGATGCTTTGAAACTGCGATGGAGTTGCTTTATATA